ACACACACACACACACACAATCCTCAGTCGTCATTTTGCCATCAGGTCATTAAATTCCTTTGCTCGCTCATTGCCACCATGAAAGCCACCACTGCATTTTTACACACACACTGGATCCAACATCAAAAATTAATCACAGCACAACTTAAATCACAACCGTGACTGAGCAACATGATTTAGGCCTGCTGGGGCATGCATGTGTGTGTGCACATGTGTTTTGTAGGGTAGTGGGGACAAATTAAGGTTAACAACCATAGCTATGAGGACATTCGGCTGGTCCTCACATGTCCACAATACTTTTTGAGGTTCAGGTTAGGGGACAGGGTTGGAGATAGGTTCTTTGTTGAGATGGTTAAGGGAATGGAATAGAATCCTATAGAAATTACAAGACTAATATATCTTTGTGTGTGTGAGAGAGGTCCAGGTATTACTCTTGTTGTGGGGACCTAAATCTGTTTGCATAGTCACATTAGGGGTAACTCACCCCTAGAGGATATCTGTAAGAAGAGGCGGGGGTCTGCAGCGCGTATGGCCGCCGTGTACCGATCCTCGATCCCGGGCACCTGCGCCTTTTTCTCGGGCATGAGGCGGACCCTGAGCCGGCCCCCCTCCGCGCCCAGCCACCACTCCAGAACACTTGTGAGGTCCATTTCCAGGGTGAACACAGGGGCCTCCTCGTACACAGACAGCCCCCCACATCCGGTCTTGACTATATCCTCTCCGATCTCCACCACCGCGAGGTTGTTATTCCTGCTGGCTTTCGTCAGGCCCAGTTTCAGAACTTTGGACAGCGGCCGCTTGTAGAAGAAGGGGAGCTGTCCGTCAGCAGACACGTTCCTCAGTGCTGAATCCGCAGCAGCAGAACTGGGCTCCACAAAAGTGGAAACGGTTTTCTGCAGAGGGATGCAGTGCATCTTCAAGTTTGCGCGCACTGTGTAACATCCTCTAAAAGTCTGGCAGTCACCGTTCAGCGGTCTCTTAATGAACTCCGCAAGGTAATTGCGCAACAGAGAGGGGACCGCAAAATCCACAGAGAGGGTTCTCCTCTTGATCCTGGAGTTTATGGTTTGGTTCAAGTCTCTTTTGCCCCCGGTTTCCCCACTGTTACCACCACCACCACCACCACCACCGCTGCTGATGTTGCTGAAGCCGGCGGTGGTTGAATCCATCCCCGCTGTGGTCCTTGGCGAGGCGCACTGCAGCCCAGCGAAAAATGCCGCAGAACAAACAAGCAAAAACAAGATCCTGGCGTTCATGGTTAAAACAAATGTCAGTCTTTTCGTTCAGGTGAAGCCTCTCTCTCAATCCAGCCCGTTCACCGCGTCACACACACAAAGCGCAAAAATCACAAAGTGCGAAATCGATGATGCTGCGGGTCCTGCGCCTCTTCGCCGGTGCGCACCCGTGGCAAGGGTAAGGGAATCAGTTATTTTTCTTACATTTGTTTGCTGGTGACTGTTGCCGTCCTCCCTTCTTCTCCACACGGGAAAAGTGCCATTGTTGCGTTCTGTTCCCCGCGCACCCAGGTGGACGCGCACACTCACGCACGGCACCTTGAAGACGATGCGTTTTATCGCAGCCCGGCGCGTCGCTCCCCGGGACGCTGCTTGGTATGCCGCTCGGCTGCGCTCCGGTCGCTTTTCAAAGACTCCCAGTCTCTTGGCACAGTTGTGACGGCGGCACAAGTGGTCTCTCTGTCAGCGGCGAGATGCAGCGTCGTTCCCTCTCCCTCTCCCTCTCCCTCTCTCTCTCTCTCTCTCTCTCTCTCTCCCTCTTCCTCAGAGCTAAACCCAGAATCCACAACGAGTTTGGAGACGCCGAGTGTCCATTAAAGTTTAAAATACAATCACATCCGGCAGCTGCCTCTCGGCTTAATTGTCTGCTGTGGATTCCGGTGTTGACTCGGTGGGCTCCGGTGGGGATCCTGTCGGTAAAGTCACTCACAGATCTGACGTCAACGTGAACCGTTTTCTTGCAAACACGACTCCCCTGAGAAAGAGCCAGAGCAGGAGCATCCGCCGGTGTGGACGCGTCTATTGCGCCCTCAGCGCAGCCGTAACGGTGCGTGTGTCTGAATTGGGATTAGAGATGCCAGGAAGTATGACAGAACAGCACAGCTCCACATTGATTATTTCTTTCTTTTTTTTTCTTTCAATAAATGTCCGGAAATTGGATTGGATTAGTCGCACTCTCCCGGCTGTGCGCAAAACAAATAGTTTCAGAGGGAGGCCGTTTGGGTTGGAGCCCATTTGATTTTTTAATATATCTTATGTGAAGAGGACAGGGCGTAAAATACCAGCAGGTGTCAGTTCATGTGTCACACAGCCGGCACTACATTATTATTGAGGCTGGGAATCAAGGGGTCAGTGCTGGAAAATATGCCCGAAAACTCCCCCCACCCCCCCTCCAAATCTCAATACGCACACACACACACACACACACACACCTTACCCCCTCTCTCTCAACCCAAAAGAAGTTGAGACACCCGCTAGATGGCGTCATCACATACACATGTGGTATAATTCACAATCCTCGGTTTTACTGACAAATCCATTAATGCTCTAATTGCTGTGGATTTTTTTTACAGTGTCTCATTAGAGTCTTATCTACAGAGGAGGAGGATTGGGGCCATGTGTGAACTTTTCATGACTTAAGGAATCGCAGAATCTTGAGAAGGCTGTGCACTCTAACCCTAATCATTTTTCTTTGAAGAAGAAGAAAAGAAATCTACAGTCTACAGTCTGGAAACTGAGGAAGTTTAGGGAATTTACAGAGTAAATAAGTGAACTTTTATTTTGAAGTTTAGGTTTTTTCTAGTATACTGGATTAGTTTGTGTGCTGCATGAATGTTTTCCCATGTGGATTAAAAACATTACCACAAATTTGATAAGAAAATGAAATACAAAGGACATGTGAGGAAATGTGTCATGATATTCAAAAGACCAAATCGTAAGAATGGGTTCGACCTGTAACCTGCACGGCTGTTTTTTCAGACCCGAGGCCAAACATCAAAAAAATCAATCCAAATGTTGTCAGGTTCACACTGTTTGTTATTTATTGCAAATGCAGAGGCACAAATTCAGACCTACTTTCCCATAGCAGGATATACAGAGTTGGGGAAAGGTTTGATCAGTGCAACCCTACGTGTCCCCTTCACCTGTTGCTGTTCTTCAAAGGAATCAGACATCCAGTCCCTTTTTCCGAACGTCTAAAACGATTAATAACCACAGAAGAATAAGGTGCAAAATACATGCAAAACACTTTTCTTCTGTGTTCAGCTGAAGGTGAACAGCTTCTCGTTGAGATAGAGTTTTTAAATCCACAGTTGCTGAGACTTTATTCTTTTGTAATGCTGCATACTTGTTCAGTGATTTCCACTGTAGTGGCAGGAAAGAAATTAAGTTATGGAAATGGTGAAAACCGAACAGATTTCAAGGGAATCATGTGGGATCCCCAATGAGTTGTATTTAGAGGTGTGCGTGTTTGTGATTTTGTGTGTGTGTGTAAATTAATAACTGAAAGTACAGTGGGATTTGTGACAAATGAAGAAAGAAAAGAAGGATCTGCTCAGCTGTGATGCTCATTAATGCACATGCAGACCAGCTCCCTCTTCCACCATTTACTCCTAAACACATAACTGATGCTCCTCTTGGAAAATGTGAAAACACTGATGTGACACCACCCGTTCATCGAAGGATTCTTCCCAGGAAAGAGCAAACAGCTGAGGAGTGTGTAGCCATTGCATCAGTGTTCATAAACTAGTTATAGTTTCTGCATTTGCATGAAAATGTCTATTATTACATGTCTGCTGCGTTCATTCCCATCAACAGGG